TTATTTATTATTACATCATGATAAATAAATCTAGCAATAGTTCTAATCAATGGTGTAAAGTAACAAACTAACAGTTGTATTCAAGTAGAAATTTGGGTTATCTATGCTTTACTTAAGTAATATTTTTCAGCCAAACTTTCATTTTTACTCCTTACATTTTCAGGCAATTATCTGTACTTTCTATTCCTTACATTTTAGAAAAGCAAAGACGTAGAAAGCCATTAATCCTTTTTCATTTTGGGATTGTTTTCATTCTGGCTTGCTCTTGTTAAAAAACAAATATAGAAACTATCCAGATAAATTGTGTCTCCTGGATAGAGTGAATTTGACTGGATGGATGAGAAGTTTAAATATATACCATTCTGACACTATATTGGTTTGTGCGATCCATCCCACATGCAGGACACAAACAATTCACACTCCAGCAGTACATAGCAGACGCACAGTGTGTAGTCTAGTGTGAAGATGACAGTGGCAGATTTATGCAGTTAAAACAGGTAGCCTAGTGCATCTCAAAATTTCCTTCATTATCATTTTAATGTACAATTATAATCATGACCTTTAGAAAAATGTTTTTGGGGAGATCACCTCCCAATAAATGTCATTTTGGAAATTTTAACCACTCACTTTTACTCAGTACTTTTACTTTTAATACTTAAGTACATTTTATATGAGAAATTTACTTTTACTTTACCTTTTATCTAAGTAATTTTATGGTAAGGTACTTGTACTTTCACTCCAAGTATTGATTTGTGGCACTTTATCCAACACTGGTTCTATAGAAATCTAAAAAGACTTGAAAACATTTGTCTTCTAAGATGTAGGAACGAGACAAGCCAAAGTAATTATCCCAACATCTCACCAGGTTATAAATCAGATTGTTTTTTGTGTGTGTGTGCCAGTGTGTAATGTATGTCGTGTGTCCTTATTTCAGTTCTTTAACCGGGGTTTCCATACTTGTGAATTAGCAGTGAAGTCCGTTGTTTGGTTGATAGAAAAAAAAAAGAAATACAAAATTCCAAAAGTTGTAGTAAAATTTACAGATGTGTTTCATCAGTATACGTTACTTTTTTCCCTCCTCAACAACATATCTAACACATCTATCCTGTGAAACACTCCAACCGTGCACACTTAACTACACATGTTTTGATTGTGAAGAGACATGCCCACGTTCAAAAACCTCATATTGGTTTTGAGACACAGTTCGCCGGCTGTCCCATGCTGTTCCACTCTCTCTGACGGGTTCTTAATGGTAAACTAACAGATTGTAAACATGCTGCTAGCCCTTTCTCACTCACTGTTTCTCCACTATCTTTATCAATCACCCCCTCTCTTTAGTTTCCATCTTCCATTTCTCTTCCATTCATTTCAACATTCCTCTTCTAACCCATCCCTTCTTACGCTTGCCTCCCTCTCCCTTTCTCTTTTGCTTTTCCTGGGGTATTTTTTAAACAATGTGTCCTTCATGTACGGTTGGTTACGGGGCGTACAGAAGGACATCATTAGCGCTGGTGGTTAAGCTGTAATTTACACCATTACCGAGGTAGGGGCCATTTTTATTGCCTAGTAAATTTCAGCTCTGAAATATTTAGACCATATGGCTCAATTTGTGTAATAACCTTAATTTCCAAGCACCCTTCAGCTCCGGCTGTTGTTGGCGGATGGCAGAGGGGTGTGCGCTCTCTTTCGCGTGTGTGTGTACGCGGTTTGAATTTGAAATGCGTATATGCACTGATAAACACACACACAAACATGTATGGAGAAATATAGATATGGCAAACATGTTGTATGCAACCAAAAACCCTTTACACGGTGTTTGCTACATACTGTTACTGATTCGCTGAACACACACAGAAACACGCGTATGTATGCATGGCAGTAGCAGATTAATAGGGTGTCAGCTTCTGTTTGGGTGAGGGAGCGTCAGGCGTCGGCCAGATGGTTCTCAGGGATGATGACTGTCAGGGGTCCTGCTCTGATCAATGGGATGTATTAATACAGCTCACACACACACACTGTTGCATGTACACACACAAACCTTAATGCCTTAAATCTACAAGCGCACAGAAAACCATATTCAGACATATGTATGCGCACAGAGTAACAAACACACACTCGCACGCACACATAGGCCCATCGTCTCCTTTCACCAGCAATCCCAAGGGCCGCAGTGTAACATCTGGAAGAGCCAAGGGAGGCATGGAAGGACAGTAAAGAGGAAAGAGAGAGAAAATGGCAGCAAGAAGGAGGAGAAAGGAGTGAAAGGAAGAAGCGAAGGAGCGATAAAGGAAGTAAGGGGGAAGACTGGAGACAATATGGAGTGTAGCTGAGAGGGGTTAAGGAGTGAGAACTAAAAGAGTGTAGAGAAAACTGAAAAGAGAAAAACACAGATGGACAAAAAGGGACAGCGCTGAGAACGCAATCCCCAGTTATAAAAGTCACAGAAACTTAGATTTACATGAAAGAGGAACAGTGGGGAAAACAAAACGAATGAACAATAAAGACTCCAGCTGTTTTATAAAGTGGGGGAATTTTAGGTAACCTTTGTGAAGAAATGATGAAAAATAAACAAAAAGTAAACAGAAAACACACAAGAAAGCAATCAAGACAGTGGTGCTCCTTCTTGCAGAGTGAAAACATGTCTGTCAGAGGTGTAAGGTAATGTAGAGTGAATTTGGGAATGTGTATGAGCTCTGAGTGCGTGTGTTTGTGTGTGCGCATGCCAGGCGACGCGTAGGGGTCTAGAGAGGCAGGCCGCCTGCGTTTCATACCCTCATTCCGTCTGATTGCCATGACGACCCCATTAATCAGCCAAGCTGGCACAGACCAGGGTTTTTAGCCCAGTCTGAGATTAGTACACACAAATATGCACAAACTAAACAGAAATGCACAAACAATATGTAAGTAAAGCTAAGAAATGTTGTGTATTCTAAGAAGAGTAAAGGACATTTGTGGGGTGCTCAACATTTATATTGTAAATTTATATTCACCTGATACTTTATTCAGACAACTCATCTCTAAAACAAGCTCACACCACACACACAAAAAGAAAAACACTAACTCATAAAACTTCTACTCTGTCCCAGTTCAATGAAAACTTTGTTTTCAATTTTTACTTTCTTTGTATGTTCTTAAAAACTATAGTGCATCAGCTGAAGGCTACTCTGTGACAAATGACCCCAGCCAAAATAAGTCTATGCCATGTCAATGAGCTCCTTTCTTTCTCTCCCTCTCTCTCACACACACACACAAGCTCACACACAAACACACAAACACAAAGTGTTCCATATCAATGAGAAGGTGAAAGGTCTCCATTTACATCTTGTATTAATTATGAGTGACAAGCCAAAGGTCACAACGAGAGAAGAGGCCACACGTATGGACAGAATATAGATCCATACTTCTACCTCTTGTCCCTCGTTTATTCCCTTACTCTGATCTATCACCCTGTCTCATCCCTCCTCTTCTTCAATCACTTTTCTTTATAGTACCCCACTGTGACTCTCTACTTTGATTTTTCCTTGCTTTTAAGGTCTTGTGCTTCGGCCAGTGTCGGTTTCTGACTGTAAAACAAGACTTTTCTAAGTTTGAACACTGACTTAAGTCTCTTGCTTTTCCAGATTTGTTTCCTTGTTTAACTGATTGTAAAATATCAGAGGATCAACGCAACAAAGGGTAGGTGATTAATTCAAACACACATTAGGGTAAGAGACAGTCAGCAATACTGACCAGCTTATGGGAGCTTCAGGTGAATGTAACAGCCGGCTTGTAATGAGACTAGATGGCATGTGTTAAAGGGGCAATATCATGTAAAATCAACTTTTTTGAGTTTTATATCATGTTATAATGTTATACTCTCATAAAAATATGCCCAAAGCCTTGCTTTGACTCATTCATGCATGTTTGAGAAATCCTGCAGCGTTTTTAGGAAGCAATGCTGAGGAGCAAAACGACAGGTGGGGACCAGAAACGCCTTTTGGTACCAGAAATGCCCCTGGGACGTGTCTTTAAGCCAAACTTCCTCATCACGGAGCACATCTCCCCACCCCCAACCCCACACACCCCGACACCCTGCCCATGACTCCTGCCGGCTCTCAGCAGTAACAGAGCAAAGTGAAAGTGAAACTTAACTGTCTGCTGCTCTTAACACTACTTCTCACTCAGTGAAACTCTTTTCAGATTCAAAATACCTTTGAGGTATTTAAATGTATTTTCAGATGCCAAGTAGACTGCATCATAGCGTGCGCACAACCCCCACCCCACCCACACTGAAATGGGACGGGGCAGGAGCGGAAGGTGGTTCTTAAAGAGGCAGAGACCAATTTCAAGGCGTTTAGAAGAGGAAGTGATGAGAAGATAAGTTTTTCTATTTAAGCATAAAAACAGCATTTTAATAACAACTAAAGGTGACATAGAAACTTTATTATGGTGCAGTATTTAAATATATGCCTGAGAAACACATAATATTGCCCCTTTAACATAATGTGTACAAGTGTGCTGTATAAGTGCATGTATTTAGGTGGATTTATATTTTAATGTTCACTGGTATTGCTTGTGTTAGAACATCAGAAATTGCACGGATTTAAAGGAAGGGCCCTGGAGAGTAGCAGGCCATGGGTTTTAGTGTATGTGTGTGTGAGTGTGTGTGTGTGCGTGCGTGTGTGTGTTGATGTTTTCAAACTCCTCATTGGCAAACCAGATGGCAAAATCATCACAGTAAGTCCAAATTTCTTTATATTCATTGCAAATCATAAAAACACTTCAAACACACTGCATACTTTACATTATAACAGCATAGTTTGTGCAACAATTTTCAAATAATTACTTCACATGTTTTCAAATATTTCTGTTTGTGCACAAACAAGGTTTTACATGCGAGCATCCTAATCAAGAACTACAAACCTCTGCTGATACTAAACAATACCATAAAGCATCTATAAACCACATGTGATCAGGTGGAGACTGTCGTCACATCTTGGTGTGTTTGTGTGTGTTTTTACCTCTACAGTGAGAGCAGTCACTGTAGCTGTGCTGAGAGTCGGGTCCTGTTGGTGCTTCATGTAAACCAGTCTATAATGGGAAATGAGACCATTGGGCTGGCCTGGTTCATTCCATTTAAGGTGGACTGAATATGCACCTGTTAAATTAAGCAGTGTGTTTTACAAGTGCTACAGTCAATAATATAACACCTAGTTTTAAAAGGTGAACTTACCAGAAGGTGTTACCACAGGAGGGGCCATGTTTTGTGGTTTTCCCTGTAATGTTTGAGCTAAAGTCCACTGACTCAGAACTGAGCCTTTGGAGTTGAAGGCACGAATCTTGTACTGGAAGAAGCTGAAGGGTCGTAGGTCGGGGCTTGCATCAACAAATTCAAGTGGGCCACTGGACCAGATAAAAACCAGCAGCTCCTCTTCTGTTCCTAATGGACGCCTACAGTGAGACAAGTTATAGGATTATTTATTTTTGCTAGTCCTTGTCACAGAGAGTCAGACCGGGTTGGGACTCCTTGACTCCCTGACCTCACTGTTTCATGCACAGAGAAACTATAGCCAACTATACTGCAAGAAAGTTTAAAGAGGTCAAAGAAATCTGGTCAGGTCTGCTGTTGGCATTGTCACTTCTGCTTGCATTGTTATTATGACAATCACCAATAGTTCTTTATTTACCATACTGTACATGTTATTTGTGCACACACAATAGCAATTTCTGCTAATAACCTTTTATACAAGAAACACTGAGCCAACAGGCTCTAGGGGTCTGCAACCTTTACAATCAAAAGAGCCAGTTCTTTCTCTTAACTCGTTGATTAAATATGTTCAGAACCACAAAACGTACTATGATTATCAACTGGCTGGCTTATACCAAATTTAATAAAATCTTTTAAAATTTTCATTCTTGTCTATTTTTTTTAATTTTACTCTTGTTTAACCAGGCAAATCATATTGAGATCACAGACGTCTTTTTTAAGGATGGCCTGGGCCTGAAGGTATGTTTTGTTCTGTGGGGGAAACTGGAGAGAATCCATGCAAGCATGAGGAGAACATGCAAACTCCACAAAGAAAGACCCCAGGTCCAAGCCAGGGATCTAACCCAGGACTTTCTTGCTGTGAGGCGACAGTGCCTCTGGGCACGGCCACTGGGCCGTCATGACAC